TCGTGTTTCTTTATGCAGGAGACAAATGAAAACGGTTGCAAAATTTTTAGCTTCGGATTTATAGCAACGGGAAGTTTAGCGATTTTGTCGAAAAAGCGGGGTGTCGGCACGCTGCTCCTAGAACCCCGGATATTGGTAGCTCTGCTCCAGGGTTTTGTATTTTAGTTCAGTCTGGTCTTATTGATTTTTACCAAAAGTCTTTTGGTCGGAAACTGTCGAGGAAATTTTTCTATATTCAAAAAACGCGCGCAAACCCACCCCTTAACACCCTTACGTTGACCACTAAAAATTAATTATAAAATGCCTGCTAATTATATTATTTTATTTAAGCAATTTTATACATTTTAGACATTGGATTAAACCAATTCCGGGCGCTGAAACCAAGCAATTCAACGCGCAAAGATCAAAAAAGGCAATTTTACTTTTTTACTATGATTTTTGGGGCCAGCCGAGAACAATTCTGAAATTTCTGCCTACTTAAAGGAAATGAATTGTTTTCAATACCTTTATCTGTCATTACTAGGTAGTACACACGTTTTTAGTGTTCATTCGTACCCAAAACGATGTTTTCGAACCATGCTGAAATTGGCTTCCAACGGGTTCCGTGCCAGCGCCACCCTTACGACGCCCAGTTTTTCCTTCAGAACAAAAGTTTAGACGGTTGCTGCGTTCCAATATTTTAAGAGTGCTTAGGGGACATCTGTGGCCATATTTCAGCAAATTATTGAAACCCAGCCAGCTTTCTTAACTTTTTGAGAGACTCGGGAAAGTGTTGCCATATATATGCCTCACCCTGTACAGTACTCCCACGAAATAATCTGAAATTATTTCTATTTAGAGCGATTTATATAAATTAAAATTTGGTAGTCATCTACTGAATTAAATTTGTATTGGATACATGCGAGCAATTGTCGAAGAATCTGACAGTTCATTCTACACAAAAAGCGAAACATCTTTGTAAATTTTTATGGAACCCATCCGGAACCAGCTTAAAGGGACGGGCAAGGCGGTAAGATTATCGAATTTAAAAAGGTTTGATAAATTTTATGATTTTTAAGTTTTTAGGAGCAAGAAAATGATATCGGAAATGTCCACTACCATCAAGCCGGAAAATTATTTTTTTTTATTCATCCGGAGAACGACTCCGAAGTCAAGATTTATTTAGCTCAATTACGGCCATGAAACGCTTTTTAGTAGCCGGTTCCATGTCAGTCCTTAATTTTATAGTTTTATTGAGTTTGGCTAATTTTCTAGGAATAGCATCTAGCGAAAATTGGTATTGTACTCAACGCGTCCTGGAATTAAAAATAATTTGGTCGTATGCATCCGATAAAAGTGTAAAACACAATTTTCTGTTGGCCAGTTGTCGGTTCAAAACATTAATGCCAAAAACCTTTCGATTTCGATTTTTTCCATTTAGCAAATGGTATTTTCGAAAATCAATAGTTTCCATAAAAATCATTAATCCAGTTAACATTCGATAAAGAATCATTTAGTTAAAATTAACAAGTGGCCAGAATTTTAAATATCGGAGGTTTGAAGGTCTCATTAACAAGAAACCTTGCAATTTTATGAAGGGCATTGGTGCAACACACTTTTTGCCGATTTGGTTAGGAAGAAATTTACAGGAATTGTATGAGGACCCACTGGAAAGTTATCCAAAGCTTTGCTTATGCCATTTAACTGAAACATTTTTAAACCTTGGAAAATTTTTGAACTTTGCATTTTTTTACAAGAAATTAAATAAATACTAAAGAAAACATTGAGGAATTGTTTATGTCATTTAATTAAAACATGTTTAAGCAACAAAAATAGGGTCGATAAAAATATACCCATTCCTACTTTTATACCCCCCATAAATCCAATTTATATACCCAAACTGTTTCAAAATTTGCCCAGCCCGACGGGTCGGCCCGGAGGTCTGACCAAATATAGGGGAAAATCCTGCCCCGTTCTGCGTCCGGAAAACCATATGTTATGGCTTTTGCTGTGTCGTGTCGCAAATATTTTGATCTAAAAAGGCGCTGACAAAGCCCCGACCGTTCTCCGCGTTTTCTATATTTTGACCCGGCAACGTGGGCCGAGCGAATAGATCACCGATCGGGCGATCTTCTGCTAAATTTGGCAAAAATTAAAACGCCCACGATTCATAAAATTTTGAAACTTTTTTTCGCACACATTCAGAAGATTTGAATGATTTAATCAAGTAAAAAATCAAAACTGGAAAAACCGTCTAAACTATTTTACAAAAATTTTCGAAAATTCGAAAATTCGGCTAAAAAAACCCGAGATTTTTGGATTTTCGAAAAGATTTGATTAATTGGACATTAGTTAAAGTAAACTTAATACATATAAATGGAATTATCTGGAAACATAGTCAACACCTACCAATCTTCCAAACATTTTTTATTTTGATGAAATGGGGCAGTAATTAAATTAAAAACAAAATTTGTAATTGAATCTGAATTTTCTATTTCTCTAGTCTTTACGGTATTGACATTTTTTTATATGAAAACGCATGCAAACACTCCTAGAAAAGACAGATAATTCTAGTATATCAGGAGGCCAAATTCTAGAAGCTGACAATGCCCTCGCGTTGCGAAATTTTGAAACATTTTTATCTACGCTCAAATTTCAGCAAATAAAAATTATTTCTTAAGCTCATTAACTTAAATAACTAGATAAGGATTTAATACGTTCAAGAATCGTGTAAAAACTCCTAGGAAGCACATTTTAAAAAAATGTCATTACTTTCTTTAATAAGAGAAAAAATGTTTCGCAAATCTTGGTATCTCAGCGTAGCTAATCCTACTATATATAAAAAAATAGTGTATGTGTGTGTGTGTAACTTTGCATGCAACTTCCGTCAGTATGTTCCGGTCGTATCTCGATAGAGAAAGGGTTTTAGAGCATGTTTGAGATGTCATTAGATGCGTAATGGTCTCGGAATCACTGCACACATGTAAAATCGCCGCAAAAGTGCTATTTTCGATATTAAAATTAGGTTTTTAGTGAAAATTCCGGTCATCCGCTTTGTTAGGAATCAATTAGCATGCGCCGGAAGTGAGAAAAGCCTATATAAAGAGACCTAAGACGTATTTTTCATTTTTGGCACTGCGGTTCGCGAGAATTATGAAAATTTCGAACTCTCATTGGGCAAGACGGAGCCAGGGTTGAAAAGTCGCGAAGCGGCTTTTCAACCCTGGTAACATTTAATCAGCATCTTCGCTCGTTTTGACGGTAAATTCCTTCGATAGGTTCAAGTTTGTATTAAAGCTGTAATATATCTATTATATTAAAGAGCCGGGCAAGGCGCAAATCTGGATTACTGATGCTTTGGCATTATCGGGGGGGGGGGTTGTACCAGTACAGAAATGCCTGGTAACGTAATAGCGGATTTAATCGTGTTTTTGGTCTAATTGATTATATTTCAATTGGAAAAACGATCTAAACTACTTTATAAAAATTTGGGCATAAAAATCGATGCTTTGTAGTTTTGAAAAAGATTGCAAGTTTTTGTATTTCCGAATAATAAAAAAACCGTTAAAAGACGCCAAATTTTTTTTATATAAAATCGAAATTTGGGTAAAAAAAATATCGATACTATTGTATTTTTCATAAAATGTTGCAAGTTTTTGGATTTCGGAATATAAAAATAAAAATATACAGTTAAAAGTCGTACCTTGTTCTAATAATAGAAAATTTGAACCTCCTTGATGAAAAAGCCCACCAAATTCAAGCCTTAAAAGGTCCTTTAAAACCCCTAAAAACGGCCCTGTGAATAACCCCGATTTCCGGCGAGCAAACATCACGACGTACAGTGAAAGTATTGGGTATCGAAATGAGTCAACATCCACCAAAAAAAAACAGCCGATCCGCCGCTATTTGTACAGCCCCGGAATTCCAACGTTTTCGTGGTGGTCAAATTTTAGAAAACGCCAACTGTACCCGGAGATTTAAAAAAATCGTACTACTAGACAATTAGAATTCAAAATAGCTAGGAAAAATAAAGCGTCTCGAATTGTGTGGGGAAACATGCGCGGAAATACCCATTAGGTTGGAACATACGTTTTTACGTCGATACCGTTTTCACACTTTTGACATCAAAAAAATTCGATTTCAGGAGAACAGCCTTTTTTTGTTTATTACCCTTTTTTATTTTGCATACACTATCTCCTCTTAAAAAAACTTCTTACTTACCCTAACGTTAATTCTTTGAAACTTCCTGTAGTCAATAAAAAACTGAAGATAGATTAAAAGCAAAAAAGAGCAAATTAATTCTACTAACCAATTTATCATGATTGGCGTTCAATTCAGGCTTCCCCCTGCCAAATATAGTGAAACAAATAATTTTTTAGTCTTAATTAAATTTAAGCCAATTTTTTAATTTTACATATAAGGTTCGATCCGCTTTCGAAAAGTGGCTTAAGATGAATAAATTATTTTAGAAAACAAGCTTTTTGTATCGAGTTGGAAAGGTTAAAATGACGGATGCGCCGAACAACGTTAGTTTTATTAGGGATGAATCGACAAGTAGCTGATCCGCCGTGTTCCCGTCAATGCGATTTCGTGAAACACGTTTTGAAAAAAATTTTAAGGTCTCTACATTTCTGAAAGTATCATTAGTTTAGTTTCCAGAAAAGGAAAAGATAAAATTAACATGACAAAATTAATATAGTTATACTCAAAAATCAAAAAGAAAAAAAATAGAATTAAAAATTTTTGGAATTAAAAAGTAGTAAAAACAGCAAACTCGTTCCGAAGACGCATTAATGGAATATTTTTATTGAACAAAAGCAAGCAAGAAATAAAACATTAAGTTGTTTTGAAAAAAGTCATAATCGAAAATCAAGTAGCAAAAAGATATTAAAAGTTTTAGAAACGAAAGAAGTATAAGAAAAGCTCGCTTATATAAAATGATATAAATAAAATGCAATAGGGCAAAGTAAGAAGAATTTATTTCCAAATAAAGATATAATATTGCGGGGGAGGGGCTTTCACATCATCTTGGCGTCCTCGTTGAATCGTTTGATGGCTGGGGAGTGGCGGTCGCCAGTTCGCGCCTGAAAAAAAACAATAAAAACGATTTTTTTTGTGCGTAAAATGTGTTTCATAAAATATATCAGTTTCTGCATTTTTTTGCCATTCTAAATTAGTGAGGAGTCTAGTATTGAAAAAAGTTAAAATGTACAGTGCCAGGAACAACCCATGGAGCAACGAAAAACTAGCCAAAAATCCTTCATAGAATTTCGAATCATCGCAATTTTTCGTTTGGTTAATTTGTTTCCAAGGTATCCCTAGAGTAAAAATGTAAACAACGAAGTGGAGAAGTGAAAATCTAGAAACATTTAAGCAAAAAATGTTTCATCAAATTTTCAGTATCCGTGATTTTCGGGATTTTCAGTGTTTCATCGGTTGTTTCGGTTTTCAGTTCTTTGTTGGGTAGGTATTGTTGGGCTGACCTGGATAAACTCGAAGACGACCTGGACGATGAAGACGTACTGCGACTCGGTTTGGATGGACGAGGCACGCGCGTTTCGCAACTCTTTGAACACGTCGAGTAACTGAAACATTTCGTTTTAACAATTATAATAATTAATTTTTCTAAGCCTAAAAGTTCAAATGGATTAATTATTTTAATTTTATTAAATTTACTTAAAATTTAGCTAAATAATTTGAGGGTGACTTAGAAAAATAACAAAATCACAAAGTATTTTCGAAATTATGTATTCAAATCCCCATTTAATCCCTGCTAGTTAAAAGGGATTGGGAAGACGTGAAAATAAAAACAATGCCTGTGACTATCCCTTTAAAAATACATTTTACTGAAAAAGGTCAATATTAAGCCCTATTTGTAAAGGATTATGTCACATAATCGCGTTGTTCACTTTATTGCCAAAACCTAGCTGGCGCCACCCCTTTAAAAAACCGAAAATGGCGCTTCTTGCCAGTCCCTTTAAAGCTACCGTACCCGGGCCTCCTTCCCCTTTAACAGCCTCGACACGATGCAGTCGACGGCGATGACGGTGCCGGTTCGGCCGATCCCAGCCGAGCAGTGCACCACGATTGTGCCTTGCTGAAAAAAATGTGTGTTTCAACAAAAAGTGAAGCGCCGTTTTTTTTTTCTGCTGAATTTGTTCTTCGCACGCTTATAAATTTTCTTGATCTTATAAATCTTGATTTTGATCATAAATGTTGATTCTATACATCAAAAATAATAAGGAGAATATAATTCTAAGTATACGAAATACGAACGCTAAATGTTGCAAAATAAATTTGTAAGTACAACCGGCAGAAATAGGTTTGACTAGTCTTTTTTGAAACTTATTTTTTGTTCGTTAAGATTACGCAACTTTTTCCATTCTGCCTAACTAGTTGAATTTGAAAAAATGCCGTTTTTATACTTTGGTATACTATTAACTCGTGCTCACCGCATTAAAGTGGATGAGCTTGAGGAGGCCGAGGAGGACGCTGGGCTGCGCTGGGACGCCACGATCCGGCCACGATGTCATGTGGATCAGCTGGAAATTAGGGGGTACGGTAGAATTTATAGAAATAATGGCATTAAAATAAATCCTCTTTAATATAAAAAAATAGTGTTTGTGTGTGTGTGTGTGTGTGTGTGCATTTGCATGCAACTTCCGTCCGTATGTTCCAGTCGTATCTCAATAAAGGAAGAAACTACGGGTATGTATGATACGTCATTAGGTGCGTAATGATCATGATACGACTGCACACCTATCAGATTTTCGAAAATCAGCTGTTTTCGATATTAAAATTAGGTTTTTGTGAAAATCACGCCCGACCTCTTTGTTAGGAATCAATTAGCATGCACCGGAAGTGAAGTGAGCCTATATAAAGGCGGGAGGGCGAGTGATTTTTATTTTTTTTTGCTCGGGGCAGGCGGGTGTGATTATGCAAAGTAGGGCCAGCATGGGGCCTAGATGAGGCCAGGGTTGAAAAGTCGCGAAGCGGCTTTTCAACCCTGGTAAATAAATAAATACCTTGACAATCTGCGAATTCGAGCACCCCTCCGGCAACGCTTCCACCGTGTATACGTCGAAGCCGAGCTTGTCCTGGGTGACCTGGAGAAGAGCGTATTTTCGAAGGTATACAGAGAGAGAGAGAGAGAGAGAGAGAGAGAGAGAGCGAGTGTGACAGGGAGGGGGAGAGAGCCAGAGATAGAGAGAGAGCCATAGATAAATAGAGAAAGACGGAGAGAAAGAGAGCGAGAGAGAGAGCGAGAGAGAGAGAGAGAGAGAGAGAGAGAGAAAGAGCGAGAGAGAGAGAGAGCGGGTGAGTGAGCGTGAGATGATAGCAGAAATATTAATTTTTAATTTTTGGACTTTCTAAAAATCAAGAACTGCTAAAAACACTGTAAAATAGACTATTGGCCAGGGTTGAAAAGCCGCTTCGCGACTTTTCAACCCTGGCCCCGCCTGACCCATTTTATCCGTCAATTTGCATAATTCTCCTGACAAAATGAAAAACAACCTCTTCTGCAGGGTTGGTCACGAAAAGAGCGGGAGCGGGGAGCGGGAGCTGATTTGCGAGCCCCGCTCAAGAGCGGGAGCGGGAGCTGAAAATCCTTAGCTCCCGCTCAGCTCCGGCTCTTGAGCGGGCTCTTTTGGAAAAGAGCGGGAGCCGAACCCCGCTCAACTCAAACCGGATCCTGCAAATCAGATATCTATGCAAATAAGGCAATGCAAGGCCAAAAATACTCAATTTTTTGGAATTTTGGGAGATTTGCACAAATAACTAATTTTCAGCATCCGGTGGAGTAGAGCAGGGTTCGGCTCCCGCTCTTTTCCAAAAGAGCCGGCTCAAGAGCTGGAGCTGAGCGGGAGCTGAAAAAGTTTCAGCCCCCGCTCGGCTCCTGCTCCCGCTCAGCTCCGGCTCAGAGCCGGCTCGCAGAATGACCAACCCTGCTCTTCTGCCGCTTTATATAGTCGCAGGGACGTAGCGTAAGGTGGGCCCCCTGGGCCCCCCCCCCTCCCCGAAATCGGCCGGGGCCCGCAAGTTTCATAAGGGGGGTCCCTTATGATTTTTATTTTCTCAAAAATTTTGCTGCCTGCCGCGCTATTTTTTCACGTTTTTACGGCTATTTGTAGAGCTAAGCAACCTTTTTTTCAAAAAGTTTTGCCTGCGGCGCTGTTTTTTCGGCAATGTTTTGAGTTTTTTGGTAAAAATTTTTGGGGGCCCCCCCGAAATTTTTTTTCTGGCTACGCCCCTGTATAGTCGCGTCCCCACTTCCGGTCTATGCTAATTGTATCCTAACACTGAATTTTTCACAAAAACTTAAATTTAAGATCGAAAATCAATAATTTTGAAAAATCGGTTATGCGTGCAGTCATCTCAAGACCATTGCGCACCTAATGACGTATCATACGTACTTTTAACCTTATCGCCTAGCGAGATATCCTCCGGACAGACAGACGGAAGTGGATGCAAAGTGGCACACACACACACACAAACACTATTTTTTTATATATAGTAGGATTGTTAACAAATATGTGAAAAAAAATTTGGTGTTTTTCCCCGACCTTCTTGGTGTTGACGGCCATCCGCCCGTAGTTGACAAACTCGTCGACCTTCATCGGCCAGTACTGCGAACACTTGATCTTGCCCGCCTCGAGAAACTGAAAATTCAAGCTACAGAGTGTAGTGGGTCCGCGAAAATGCGCAACGTAAGTCGACTTCAAATTTTGCTTAGGCTTAGCCTAGGCTTTGGAAGCTTAGCTTAGGCTTACTTCGGCTTTTAATTGGACTTTATACCCAGTTTTCTGCTTTTTCAAGCGCGCTATCCCTGATTTCTGCAGCACACTCCTGCGAAAAGATAGGTCGACTTGAAATTGTGCTCAGGCTTAGCTTAGGCTCGCGTAGCCTTTTGATTGACTTTGTAGCAAATTTTCTGCTCTTTCAAACGCGCCATTTTTCATTCCTGTAGCACATTCCTAAGAAAAGATAAGTCGGCTTCAAATTTTGCTTAGGCTTAGCTTAGGCTTCGGAAGCTAAGCTTAGGCTAAGTAAAACGGTATTTCGGTACTTCTCACGGTACCTGACAAAGCGCGGCGATTACCGTAACCCCCTCCTGGTGCACCATGCGCCAATGGTCGCCGATCGTCTGCTCCAGAGGGCCCTGAATTGGAATATTTGTGGTATTGATTTAAAATGAACCTGGCATGCGATGAACGTCTTCTCCTGGCCCTCCATCTTCACCGTGTTCGCGTGGATGTAGCCGCCTGCCGATGGAAATGATTAATTAACTTTTTATGATATTATTGTTTTGATTACATGGCAGATTATTGGGTAGGCACTCATATTTTGGAAAACTCATATTTTCGAAACACATATTTTCGAAACTCATATTTTCTTAGGTTTTCCTCGGTCACCTAAGCCTATGCAAAGCTGTAAATATTAGTTTTCCAAAATATGAGTTTCGAAAATATGAGTTTCGAAAATATGAGTTTCGAAAATATGCACGCAAATAAGATTATTGACCTCAACTATCGTCTGCCGATTAATACTTTTGTTTAAGCAATTTGTTTAGACGCGAACAACTATGAGCCTGGTACCTACATTCGGGTGGTACTTGCAGGGTGAGCTTGACACGGGTCGACTCCAGGCACACCACGTCTTCGTATCTGCAAAGCAGTTTCCATAACAGTTTTCTAGCTTTTTAAAGCCATGGTTAATCCAAGAATATAAGATTAAAATTTGCAAAAAAGGTAGAACATGTTTTTCGAAGTTTTTTTTTGGACAGTTATGATCGGAAAAGCGGGGTAATGAAAAAGGCAAAACCAAATTTTTTTAGGATCTTTTTTCGAATAGTAATAAGAATATGAATTGAATACGGCTTGTTGATATTTCTAAACGCGAAAACTTGATAAAATGGTATTACAAAATGTCACAAAATATCGAATTTTCGCCCAAAATGCCGTCTTCTAACGGTTTTTAAAAGTTTTTATAGTTGAAATATCGTTATATTTTCCAAAAACCCAATCAAAACACGGCTATTGATTACTAGACGTTTTTAGACGTATCTGAAAAATTCGGTCTCCGGATTATGCGGGAAAACGTTGATGTTTCAGATTTGGAACATTTTTACTTCAAGACGCCTCTATTAATCTGAGACGGTGTTATTCGTTCACCCATAAACTGACCGATTGCGTTCCTTGGTGGCGGTGAATGTGGGATATTCGAAGCATGGCGGCACGTATGATTTGCACTGGGCGAACTCGCTGCGCAACCCCTGCACGCCCTGCTGCGCGTAGAACGCCACGAACGCGTCCATCTCGCGCTCGGCCGCCGAGTCGATCGTCGCTTTCTGCAGTGCGTGTTTTAGAACCAAATTTTTGAGTACAAGTCCAGAAAGACTTAAAAAACTGTCTACAACCTTTAAAAAACGTCGAAAATCGAAATTTTCGTGAAAAATCGGCTTTTTTGGTCGAAAACTCGATATTTTTGATGTTTTTGAATAAAAATTTGGAAAGTTTTCAGGTTTAGGGATATTAAAAAACAGCTTAAAAACACGGCCATCATTTATATTTGCGGGGCTGAGATCCTAAGAAGAAAAAACTATTGATTATCGGGGGGAGAATGTTCTCGATACGACCAGAAATCCTAACAACGTAATAGTCAGTATTTTAATAGCTTTTTAGCAAAATATCTTACAAACTTTCCAAAAATTTAAAAAATTTGTGGTTGCTAGAAAAAGTGATATCTTTCAATTTTAATGACAACTTGGCGAATTTCTACATCGGGGGAAACCTCTAATTCAGACTTTTGGGTTTTCTCAGAATGAGGTTTTAATGAAACATAATTTTTACACGTGAAAATATAGAAAACGGTATTACCCGCCAGTGGTCGGGCAAGAAGTCGAGCTCTTCCTCGGGCGGTTTCGCCTTCGCCTGAAAAAAGGTGTTTCAACTTTTGGAGAAGATAAACGTAAAATAGCTGCAAGAATTTGAGAAAACCCCCATAAAATATGGTCCCTCCCGTTAATCCCAAAAGGGGGGGGGGTTGAACTGCTTAAACAGCTTGAATTGATTTTATACTGTTGTTTCCTTGAGGTAGCTCAAGCATTCCCCCGCTAACAGCACAGCACCCCAAAACGGGTGAACTGCTTCAACTTCTCGCAAAGCCGTACCGCGAGCTTCTTCTTGATCCTTCCCCGGACGGACATCCCAGGCGCATCGGGGCTTCCGCCCTCGCCGCTCTCGTTGTTGACCTTCTTCTTCTTCTTGACCCTCCTCGAGATGACGGGCTCGCAGGATGCCACAGCTACCGTCGCCACCGTCTGCCCGCCGTTCGTCGACAGCTTCTTTTTCGCCGTCTTCTTGCGGCGCTTGCTCTGATCTGCTGCAAAAAATCTATGTTTCAATAATTTTATGTAACGTCCATTTTCGATAATTTAAGATCCTGCGTTCTTCTATACCGCATTTAGCTACCATTTCCTTTCATAACATTTTTGGCACTGTGCTGTTAGTGGGGGGAGGCTAACTTTGCATCTAAATTTTTAAACTAAATGCAAATATTTTAAAGCCGCCTTAAATCACTCTAATCTGCGCTATTTCTGATCAGTTTAACGGTATTAGTTGAATTTGTTTTAAAAATTTTCTAAAACCTTAAAACAAACGATTGTTCAAAAAAATATGTTACAAAAATTACTTAATAGCAAAATTTTTTTGAACCAATGCTACCTAAAAAAACATGTGTTTTACTGTAATTTTTATTTTTACTTCAATTTCATTTATCCTACCTTATATAATTTTGGCGCGTATGTGTGTGTGTGTGTGTGTGGATGTCACTTTCGAGGCCCGATTTGAGGGCCTTCCCGTGTATAAAATGCCCTAATTCTCCGTCGCCCGGGGGAATCGACCCTCCTCTTTTCGTTGGCGTTGTCAGAATTGCGATAGAATACAAGTTTACGACGTTAAAGCCGGTTTTATTCATTTTTGGGGGTCCCTGAGGGCTAATTTGCATAATGCGGAAAAATACAAATTTCCTCATTCTTGCCAGTTGCACTCGCGTGTGTGGCCGGTGGGGGGGGGGAAGAGGTCCGAAGGACCCGAGCTATCGGGAAGTCAAATTTTTCATGCAAAGGCCGCATTCCAGCGCCCAAGGCCCGCGAAGCGGGTTTTGGGCGCTGGTTTTTACATAAATCTTAAAAAAAGGAAAATTGCTACTCACCCATGATGAAGACACTGACGAGTTTCTAATGAAAAGTAAAAGCAGTAAGGAGAGAATTCAAATAGAAATAATGGTGGAGGGATGGGGGACGAAACGCGATTTAACCCGAGATATAGATGCAAATCGGAATGTCGGCCGTGCTAATTTTGCATGTAAATTAAGAATTCAGCCAATTCTTGTTGGTTGTGTTTTTCACTGTATTTCGTGGCGCTCAAAAGTATCAACGAATAACTGTTTAGCATTTTTCATGGATTTTCAAATTTGATGAAACGTGTTTTTCAAAGGTGCTAGGACGCGAGGAAGAGAGAGATAGAGAGAGAGCGAGAGCGAGTGTGAGAGAGGGAGAGAGATAGAGAGAGTGAGTGAGAATGAGAGCGAGCTTGAGAGGGTGAGATAGACACAGAGAGTGAGAGAGAGAGAGGGCGAGAGAGAGACGGAGAGAGACGGAGCGAGAGACGGAGAGAGAGAGAGAGATCGAGAGAGACATCGAGAGAGACAGCGAGAGAGGAGAGAGGAGAGATATTCCATAGATTTATGCAACCTAAATTTTTGAAAACCAGCACCATGTTTGCTAACTTTCTACCATAAGTGCCCCTTCCCCCTGGGGGTCATGTTTTAGGGTGCATTATTGACTTTCACCTACTCTAACAAAACCCCGCATTTTCCCCTCCATTTTCTGGGCAAACACACGATTTTGAGTGTGGTATAAAACCCAAAAAGGCACATTAGCTTTGAATCACGTTTTTCTAAAACCCTGCAATCGCCAGAAAATGAATCTACTGCTGTCGTATTTCCTATACCTCGCGCTTCTTACCGTAGCCTGGGCTACCGTATGCAAGACGAATTTCGATGCGAGTGGTGAAATTCTGGGAGAGGTAAGATCGTTTAAAAATGTAAAAATAGTCGAAAACGAATTTTCGTTTGATCTAAAATTTGAGAATTTCCATGTTTCGAAAATGATTTAGCAGAAATAAAATGATTTGTGTTTAATCAGGTACGCTTTGTCGTGCACTCCTTATAATCGAGGATGTAACGGTAAAATTTTATATCGATATAATTATCATTGATCGGTAAGAATCTAATTTAAAAATAAATCGAAAACCAAGTATCTTATCCGGATTTTTTTTAATTTATCGCGTTCATTTTGAATGTCAGCTATCCGACGTCGAGTGCAACAACAACTGTGAATTCTGCGCAACGCTACGCCATAGGTAGCGTTTAAAATTAGAATTTTAAAGGAACCGGCACGGCAAGTTTTTCGATTTTCGAGAAAAAATAGAGAATTGTCGCGTTCTCGCAAAAAATAATGAAATGTTTCGGAATCTGAGCTAGTAGGGCAGCATGTTGCATTATTACTGCACCATTCGCTAACGCCCTAATTTTCTAGGCTCAATTTTAATGCTTTCTTTGTGGTGCTTTTGCGTTATCGGGGGGGGGTGCAATTTTTATTTTGGATTCCGTTTTTCTACTAAAGTAGTGGAAACGTTTCAGCTTATTTTCCTAGTCATAAACGCAAACTTCAAGATTTTTACAGCTATATTACAAAAAAATGAATGTTTCACACAAAATTTACCAAAGTACCAAAGTTTTTTGCATAGTTTTCGACTTCTAATTTAGCTAAATTTACTAAAAACGCTATTTAAAGTAATTGCGATTGAATTACTGGGCATTTATGGGCCGATAGGTAGCCCCTCCGCTAATGCGTAAGTACCAAAATTGACCTTCCTGGCTCCTTGAATTGTATGTATTCCAAATAATAGCATAGTTAAATAATTTCCAGCGGCCGTTTCATGAAATTCCAAGTGCACGGCTGCGGCTGCGGGGATAAGAGCATTTTTGGGCCCGATGAGAAGACGGCGCGAACGCTGAATGATTGCACGGTCGGTTGGGGCATACTTTAATTAATACAATTTATTAATTAAATAATTAATCTAAATAATTTCTGTAATTAATCGGCAATTACTTAATCCACAAAAAAAAGATCAATTAGTGTCCCCTTTGGCACCGCGTAAATCATGAAGACTCGTAACATTTTTTTGAAAATTGTTGTTTCAATGGTTGATGGATGTTGCATTTTTACAAGCTGTAGATTACAAAAAACCAAAGAAAAATGACTTAATTTTTGCTGCGATAAATTAATGACCTTTTCTAGTGTATGTTTCAAAGATCGGCAAATTCCGCATCCAAAGTTCCAAAGATCGGCAAAGCGTCATTACCATCCTTTTCGTTATTTCGTAAAATCTTTCAAACTGACTCTAAAGGTCATTTAATCGATTCTTACTTTATTCCTTTCAACATGAATTTTGCTGTACAAATCCTTTGACTGTATGTTTCACGGTTTGGCAAATTTCCAGCGGCAAAATGGGTGATACTGGCCTTTTGCGGCCTTTTGCGGGTTTCATGACAATTTTTACTAAAAGAACCATAACAAAAATTTGAATAGAACAACAATTTCCCCCCGCAAAATAGAACAGTACCAATCGATTAAATAAATCAACTAATTTTCGCTGTGATGTATTTTGCTTACCTTTTTTGCAAAGACAAATTATGAGATCAAAATCTACAGGGTGGCCCAAAAAAAAAACAACAGGTTTGGGCTCGATTATCTCGAGAACCTTAATGAATTCATGGTGGGTTGATGGCTGAAAACCATTTTCTCGGCCTGGAAAAGAAATAAAACACAACTTGATTTTTTCGATTTTTGAGTACGCAACTGTACTATTGACGCTGGTTACGACCGAAAATTGTGCGTTCTTGAACGGGTGGTGGGAAAATTCTGATTTTTGGCCTAAAAATAGCTGATGTTTGTAGAAATGTAATGGCAAAATCATAGAATTTATCAAGGTCAATTTCATTTTTTAGAAGCAATACAAATTTCACTATTTTGCATCTTTTTACGTTTTAATTCGCAACTCGCTTCAAATTCTCTGCCCATGGCTGCTCTTTTGCAAATGGTGTCTCCAAATGATGATCTTTGATCCAACGCCAGTTATCACCCGATTCTATGGTATTTTAATATTGCTTGCTAAAACGTGCCCCAGAGGGATACTGTAGTTTTGGTTTTTCGCGTTTTTCTTTTTATCGTATGCTGCGATTTTGCTTAAAATTTTTCCATTGGTAAACACCAGTAAGGGTCACCTATTCGCCAAAGATCGTAGAGTTCTAGCCATATGCCTTCCCAAAATATGCAAAAAACTTATTTTTGAATTTAGTCACGGAAATTTCTAAATACTTCGATGCATCGGACTAAAAACTACTATTATTTGTTTTCCCAAAAGATCGAAACGTTTCTATGGTGAAAAGAACGAGAAAACGACGATTTTCTGTTTTCTACCGTAACCCGCCTGGAGCGCGTTTTAGCATGCCAAGACAAAATGCCATAAAATGCCAATTTTTCTATTCTATACTGTTCACTGGGCGTTTGTAAGAGCACCTACAAAAAATTACTTGATTCCTGTGGCAAATGACAAAGTTATAAGGGAAAGAGGAAAACCCCCCTCGGACCCCGATTTTGGACCCGACGCCCTGGCTCGAAAACCGAATTTTTGAAAATGAAAATGGCACCGGGGTTTGGTGGATACAATTAAAGCACGTTTCGAACTGTGCATGAGAGCAAAATACTGGAATGATCTGGCTAAAGTTAATGGTTAATTTTGATTTAAAACCCGTAAATAACGTTTTTGAAAAGCCGACTTTGGGGAGCTCTTCTAAATTCGTTTGCCATGAAAATGTTTTGTATTTGCATGCGTTTTAGTTGACTACCCAAGCTTGATCTATGCCACAAAAGTCGAGCCTACTAAACCCTCGAGAATTTTTTTACCTCGTCCCGAATTCGGGTATATTTACACTTTTCATGAATTTCTTTTCAAAGATCGGATGGCCCAATAAATTTGTAAATATAATTTTAGAATGCGCCCATTAAGTAGTATTAAATAAAATTATGACAACAATTCTAGCCGTGCAATTGAATTTTATAGACTGGCACCAAGGTCTGCGAAATAGCAAGAACCAACCGTTTTGGAGGCGCTAAAAAGCAGCCTTCGAAATGGGTACGGTAGCTAGAAATTGTCTACTTGATAGATGGACGCCAGTCCTACACAACTAAGCAAAGCAAACACGTAAATTCTATCTGCAATTTTAGAAATATTTTTCCAAAGTTCAGTTTCGTGACCTCGAAAAAATCCATGACCAGGGGGTCGTCGAAAAACTCAAAAATCCGCGGATCTGAAAAATTTTTTTAATATTTTTGCGGGATTGTATCGAGCCTATAGACGGGCTAAAACAGCTTGTTCTGAGGTTTCCACCATAGGTTTTTGTAATACTCGAAATTTACCAAATTTCTCCATATTAAATTTGAGCACGCTATAACTTGCCACCCTGACCTTCAAAAATTCCAAAATTTTGCATGTATCTATCTAATGCCTACAAGATTTTACACAGCAAAAATTAGAAATCTCCTGCCACAGGCGGCTGAGAAAAATACAAATTAAAATTCCCCGAACGCACAGTTTTCGGGTGTCATTTGTATTGATACGTCGCCAAAAATCGAAAAAATCAAGTTGTGTTTAATTTCTGTTCCAGGCCGAGAAAATGGTTTTCAGCCATCAACCCACCATGAATTCATTAAGGTTCTCGAGATAATCGAGCCCAAACCTGTTGTTTTTTTTTTGGGCCACCCTGTACATTTTTTTAACGTATGTTTCACGTCTTGGCAAATTCGGATGGAAACTGTGTGTTTTTACTCTCCTGTGCTTTCAAAAATTTTTGAAAGCTGGGTCTACAGGTATCTTAATCGGTTCTTTTGAATGTATTTTGCTGTAATCTTTGGGATATATGTTTCACGACAAGATCCATTTCCAGCGGCAATATTGGTGGTATTCCATTCAAGGCTCGTAATTTGAAACAATTTTATTCGAAAAATCGCTTTTGACAGACGTTAATTTAATCTTATTTTTTCTGAGTGTAATGGTATTAAGCTACTCTAATTTACTCAAGATTCCATTTTTCAGCAATCGGGATTTTTTAGAATGATTTTCAGGAAATCGGTTCGCAAAACGGCACCCAAAACGGCCAGCGAATACGGTGGGCCTGCTGCGCCGAGGAACTCTGTAAATTTAGTTAATTTTGTAGTATTCTTTTTTAAATAATAATATGAAAATAATAAACTTCTCCAATTTCGTGAATATTTAATTTGAAACCTCAAAATCAAATTGCCCATACAAAGCATTTATTCCCCAAAACGAAAAAGACAGAGAAGAAAGGAAGGCGATCGGCAGGGCCCGGCAGGCAAAAACGAAATGGAAGGAAAGCGGAAACAGATGAGAGGGCAGAGAAATACAGAAAAGGGGGCGGGGCTTCGGGAAGGGGAGGTACGGTAGATGGTATCGTTTCGTTGTCGACAGATGGTGGCGACGAGTTCGAGCAGTTCAGATGTCGATGAAGGGCTCGGGGAGTCGAGACTGGCTGGAAAATTGCAGTTTTTGGAAAATTCAATCTCTCTCGCTCTCTCTCTCGCTCTCTCTCACTATCTCCCTCCCTCTCACTATCTCCCTCTCTCTCCCCCTCTCTCTCTCTAGCTCTCTAGCTCTCTCGCTCTCTCACACTCTCTCGCTAGCTCTCTCTCTCCCACCAAAGCCTAGGCGGCCATCTCGAGAGCGACGTAGGCGTCAACCAGTTGGAGATCCTGGAAAAAGAGCAATAAATCCTCTAAATCCATCAGAATCAATCGTTTTAAAGACCCATTGAAGGCAAGGAAAAGTGGGCGTGGCCTGGCATACCTCGAAAGACTGTGCTTGGTTGCGGATCCAGGCATCCTCGAAGGCCGCCTTCCACGCGCCCGCATTTTTCAGGCGCTTGTTCTCCGCGGGGGCCGACTCTTGCAGTTTTTTCGCCTAAAAAATCAGAATTGTCGGTTGAGCAAACTAGCAGAGAACATTTGGGAATTGCGCGCCTGTTAGCAGGGGAAATATGACGATTTATGAAAAGCCAACAGTGAAAATCGAAAATTTAAGGAAATTGACTGATCCCCCGAGATTTGGGACCTTTTGTATTAGCGGGGGGGGGGCTTTTACCAATGCGCCAAGAAATTCATTTAGTCGTGTTTTTAGTAATCATCGGCAGTTTTCAAGTTTTCCATTTAAAAAATTCATGTTTTAAATTCTTTCCAAAAAATTTATGATTTTTTAATCACATTGGTGCTGTTTTGGCCCGATTTATATCGTAAGAACTCATGAATCCTCTGTTTACCAGATGGTTACAGTCGCTTCGCGACTGCAACCATCTGGCCTTCGGGCTACCCAACATGTCCCACTCCACCACATCCTTCCCCAGCTCCATCAATACCCCCCATAGCCGAAATCCCGTTCAAAAACTATCTAAATACCTTCCTGGTGGCTTCAGATACCCCCATGGCTGAAATCCTCTTCAAAAACTATCTAAATACCTTGCTGATGGCTTCAGATACCCCCATGGCTGAAATCCTCTTCAAAAACTATCTAAATACCTTCCTGGTGGCTTCAGATACCCCCATGGCTGAAATCCTCTTCAAAAACTATCTAAATACCTTCCTGGTGGCTTCAGATACCCCCCATGGCTGAAATCCTCTTCAAAAACTATCTAAATACCTTCCTGGTGGCTTCAGATACCCCCATGGCTGAAATCCTCTTCAAAAACTATCTAAATACCTTCCTGGTGGCTTCAGATACCCCCCATGGCTGAAATCCTCTTCAAAAACTATCTAAATACCTTGCTGATGGCTTCAGATACCCCCCATGGCTGAAATCCCCTTCAAAAACTATCTAAATACCTTCCTGATGGCTTTAGATGATTTAAATAATTAATTAACATAATTAAAAAGTATTAAAAAGTATTAAAAAGTATTAAAGTAACTTAAAGGGCTGCTGACGGCATGTGTCGATCCCCCCTCATCAACAAATTGGCAAGTAGCCAACCGGTGAGAGAGTGCGCCCAGGGGAGAGGCGCAGAGACATTTTCTTTTCCGCGCGTAACCGATTGACTTATGCCGTCGGCATCCCTTTAAAAAGCTATTTGGACGTGGGAAGGGCCTGGGGAAGAGGGGCGAAGGGAAAGGGGGCGTGGCCTCCCGGAAGAGGGGCCCCCACTCGTTTTATTAAGGCGCCACTTTCAAAGTTAATTTTAATAATTTAAATTAAAACTTTTTCATAATTTTTTTATCAGTTTGGGGGTTTCTGACCACGCTCTATCCGAATCCGAAGAGAGCTAAGCTCTAGCTCCTTTCCCCTTCGAGTTGAATTCGGCTTCACACACACACACAGACGGACGTCTTTACTTTTTTATTTTTATTATAGTATATTTATTTGTCTCAGAAAAAGCCCTCCCCCCGATAATGCCAAAGAAGCGGGATTTTCAAGGATAGGCAGGCTAGCAGAGAAAATTTAAGACACGGAGCAGGCTAGCAGAGAGCATTTGCTCCCACCTCTTCGAGCTCCTGGTCCGTGGAGATGGTGGAAAGGCCAAGGGCGAGGATATCACCAAGCCCATCCTGCACCGACGAGGTGGCCGTGCTGAAGGTGAAATTTGATTAGCTCTCTCTCTCCCTCTCTCTCTCCCTCTCTCTCCCTCTCTTTCCCTCTCCCTCTCTCTTTCTCTACTTACTCGGAGATAAGCTTCGGGAACCTCGACTTCAGATAGGGGAAAAGCTTGTCCGCGTGGGCATAGTTGGCCGTGATCCCGCGGGTCACCCAGATCGAGTCCTGGGCTCGGATCAGCCCCGTCTTGTCGATGATGCCGTCGAGGAGCCTGAAAAATGGGGTGTCACCATCCCTTTAAAACCGCTTTAAAAGAATCTAGAACGCGTAACGCACACTCGACGCATACGCAACGCAACTGACACGCCCACGACCCCCAAAACCTACGCCTCAAGCGCCGTCCAGTCGTTGCTGCACGTGATCGCCGCCAGCAGGTCGTTGCTCTCCATCTGGTCGGCTAAAAGGTTATCGATTTTGTTAAAGCCCTTAGTTCTCGGTCCCTTTAACCGTGCCAAAAACCTACTCTCCAACTTGTACAGCTCCAGCACCTCGTCGCCAATCTTGTCGCCCGGCCCGGCGGCGCGCACCGCCTCGCAGTACGCCATTTTGCGGAAGTAGGCTGGGGTGCTGGAATGGGTACGGTAGGTGGGGCAACTTTTAGCGGTATTGAGTAGGCGGACGGGCTAGCAGAGCCTTTTAAAGGGACGGTGACACCCACGTCGCACAGCTGGACGCCATCTTCGAGCCGGCCTTGTTCGACTCGAAGCAGGGCTTGTGCACAAACTCCTCGTAGGCAACCCTGAAAATGGAAAATTAAATCGATAGAAACTGTTGAAGCCCACTTGAACGCCTTGCCGCAGTCGTCCGGGTAGAGACGGCAGGCCGCCGCGAACTCGGCCAGCTCCATCAAGCTGAAAAAGGTAAGGTGATGCTGGTAGAGATTGTTGAGGAAGAGGAGAGGGCAGGCTAGCAGAGATTGTTGAGGAAGAGGAGAGGGCAGGCTAGCAGAGATTGTTGAGGAAGAGGAGAGGGCAGGCTAGCAGAGATTGTTGAGGAAGAGGAGAGGGCAGGCTAGCAGAGATTGTTGAGGAAGAGGAGAGGGCAGGCTAGCAGAGATTGTTGAGGAAGAGGAGAGGGCAGGCTAGCAGAGATTGTTGAGGAAGAGGAGAGGGCAGGCTAGCAGAGATTGTTGAGGAAGAGGAGAGGGCAGGCTAGCAGAGATTGTTGAGGAAGAGGAGAGGGCAGGCTAGCAGAGATTGTTGAGGAAGAGGAGAGGGCAGGCTAGCAGCGGCCATTTGGGGACTTAAAAAGACGGGATAGCGTACTGCTCGCGGTTTTTGGCGCTGTCCTCGTGCGCCGCCTCCATGCGGTCCGACACCTCGGTCAAGTGCGCGGCAAAAGTTGTCGGGTCGGGAAGCGGCGGCGGGAAGCGGGATTTTGGTGATGAGGCGCTCCTAAAAAAGCATCTTTATCTTTTTTTTTTGTAAAATCAGCGCTATTCGAAGCGACAAAATGATATTTTGAAAGTTCCGAAATTTTCCAAAAAAAGTAATTTTTAACCAAAAACATCAATTTTTAACCAAAATTTTGGGTACTGGGCTGTTAGCGGGGGGGGGGATTCCTCTAAGAATCTCTGCTAGCCGCCCACCTTGACGGACGGGTTCTTCAGCTTGAGCATCTCCAGGCCGTTGTTGATGAGCTTGGCGCGGGCGAGGGGTGGGAGTTCCTGAAAACAGCAGATCTCTCTTGCTATCTCTCACTCTCTCCCTCCATCTCTCTCTCTCTCCTCTCTCTCCTCTTTCTCATCCTCACCCTCTCTCTCTAGCGCTCTCTCTCTCCCTCTCTCTTTCTCATCCTCACTCTCTCTCTCTCTCTAGCGCTCTCTCTCTCTCTCTTTCTCATCCTCACTCTCTCTCTAGCGCTCTCTCTCTCTCTCTCTTTCTCATCCTCACTCTCGCTCTCTCTCCCTCTCTCTCTCTCTCTCTCTTGCGCTCTCTCTCTCTGACCTTCTCGGTGAGGAGGTCCAAGAAAAGAAGAGCAGCCTTGTAGCTGGCCGGCCGTGTGATGGCCAGGGCATAGATGTCGTCGATGATTCGCACCAGCGTTCTCTCTTCTAGTCCTTTCTGAAAGAATAACGAGCCTTACGCGCATTAATAGACGCATACCCAGTGACCGGCGAGAATGGCCTTCCAGCCAGCCTCATCATAGTTGACACGCACGTAAGCACGGCCCTCGTGGTTCACGATCGGTGGGCCGTCTTCGGCAATCACCGCAACTGTAATTTTTTGATATTTTGGCATAAAAATAATAATAATAATAATTAAATATAAAATTACAGAACTATTCAAAAATCAAGTTTTTCGAAAAACCCATAATTTCGATAATTTTGCAAAAAATCGTAAAGGTATCTAGCAGAAATGTTTTTGGAACCCAGATTGCACAGGGCAGGCTAGCAGAGACCATTTGAGACCTACGAGTTTTCGGCTCCTCCTCCAGCACAAAATATTCGTGGTGCTTCCGGCGGCGGTCGACTTGAACAAGTGGAATCGACCACGTACTGAAAATGAAGATGAAGAGAGAGTTAGAGAGAAAGAGAGAGAGTGCGAGAGAGATAGAGAGAGCGAGAGAGAGAGAGAGCGAGGTGGAGAGAGAGAGTGATGGAGAAGGAAAGAGTGATGGAGAGGGAGAAATCGGAGAGACTCGGGAGAGAGTGAGGTAGAGAGAGAGAGATGGAGGGAGAGCGAGATAGAGCGAGAGAGAGTGAGAGTGAGTGAGAGAGATAGATAGAGAGAGTGAGAGAGAGAGAGAGAGAGAGAGCGAGAGAGTTATCTTCTCACTTGTCCATCGAATCGTTGTACTGCTTGTTCATCTCCTCCGGATTCCCGAGATAGTATCGATGCTGCGTGAGCGTCCACTCCATCATGCCATCTCCAGCCGGCCCCTTTTGCGCCACGTTCACCACCGGGAAGCCCATCTGAAAAATTCCTCAAATGGTCTTTGCTAGCCTGCCTAAACCGAGGTTTTGGTCGAAAATCGGCCAATTCTGGCTCAAGAATGGTTATTTTTTGTAGCTTGTAGAAAAAAAGCTGATATGATTTTCCTGATATGATATGAAATTGAGCTATATTTTACGCTGAAAAATATCTGAAACTTGAAACATTTATTAAGTTTGGCATTTTTGTCGAAAACGGTGATTTTGGGCCGGTAAATCGGTTTTTTTGGATTCTTGTTTTTTTTTGAATTGGTTTTAGGCGTTTTACTTTTGTTTTGAATAAAATTAACCCGATAAATCGATATTTTTAGATTCTCCTAAAACGGAGTGTTTGAACCGTGGGGCTAAACGTCATTGAACTGTCTTTCCAGCGGAAAGTATCTAAAAAATTTGAAACATTTCATAATTTTTTTGAAAAGATTGTATTTACTTTATTTTTGTGTTTAATTTTGCTAAAGGAAAAGTTCTTTGAAGCCCCACCCCCGATAATGCCAAAGAACCCTGTAACCGCCCACCTGATGTGTCCACTTTTCAGCGGCAGCCGAGAACCCGCCAGGTCCGTATCGCTCGTTCAGAGGCACGTTCTTCTCCTTGGCCACCTTCTGCAGCGCGGCCCACAGATCAGCCGTGCGCGCGTTACCGTACTTGTGCGTGTTCAGGTAGTGCTGAAACATAAAAAAGGCATTAATTTCCTCGATTTTTGAATTCTCGAAATATCACAAAAAAAATTAGGTGTCGCCGATTCGTTAAGCGCTCGCTCGCCACCCAGATGGCGCGGGTTCGACTCCGCGGCGCGGCAAGTTTTTTGCTTTTTGCCGATTTGGTTCATTTTGGCTTTAAAGGGACCGGAAACCGACCGAGATGGCCTCCCAGAAGACGTCGTGGCCGAAGCTCTCGGCAATCATCAACACCAGCGAGGCGCCCTTCTTGTACTGGATCGTGCCGAAACCCTCCATCACATCCACCGCTGTATCCGCCTAGAAAAAAATGGTACTGGTGTTTTAGCGGGGGGACAGGATAAGAAGATAAGATAACAGATAATCAGGCAGATCAAATTGCATTTTTAATTTTTCTATCTTTAAAATTTTTATGAAAAATTCAGAACGCGAAAATTTCGAAAATTGTGAAGCCTAGAATAGATTTGAGCGTAGAATAGGATTAGAAAAATAAAAGAGCAGAGATTTTTAGTTGCTTCGAAACTCTCTCTCTCTCTCGCTCTCTCTCTCGCTCTCTCGCTCTCTCTTTCTCTCTCTCTCTCACCTGGAAATGCACAGGTTTGACGGAAGCCTTGACATCCAGGGTGAGCGCGATATCCTGTTGGTCCGCGACTAACAATTCATCACCCAGAAGCGAGGGGTCCAGCTTGCCCATCGCGTAGAAGGAGGTGTACGTGGCGAAACCCTCGTTCAGCCACAGATCGTCCCACCATTCCATCGTCACCAAGTTGCCGAACCACTGGAAATAGAGAGACAATCAGAGAGAGAGAGAGAGAGAGAGAGAGAGAGAGAGAGAGAGAGTGATCATCTACCTGATGGGCCAACTCGTGGGCGATCACCTCGGCGACACGACGACGGTCGGCCTCGGTATGGATCCCACGGAGGAGCACGGCCTGAAAAAGAAGTTGCTGTCACCACCCCTTTAAAACTGACCCGCTCGCGGTAGGTGACCAGGCCCCAGTTCTCCATGGCGCCGGCGGCAAAGTCGGGGATCGCGAACATGTCCATCTGAAAAATCGATTTTTGAGCTCCCAAAGGGTTTCTGCTAGCCTGCCCTCTCCTCTTCGTCAACAATCTCTGCTAGCCTGCCCTCTCCTCTTCGTCAACAATCTCTGCTAGCCTGCCCACTCCTCTTCCTCAACAATCTCTGCTAGCCTGCCCTCTCCTCTTCGTCAACAATCTCTGCTAGCCTGCCCACTCCTCTTCCTCAACAATCTCTGCTAGCCTGCCCTCTCCTCTTCCTCAACAATCTCTGCTAGCCTGCCCTCTCCTCTTCGTCAACAATCTCTAGCCTGTCCCTCTCCTCTTCCTCAACAATCTCTGCTAGCCTGCCCTCTCCTCTTCGTCAACAATCTCTGCTAGCCTGCCCTCTCCTCTTCCTCAACAATCTCTGCTAGCCTGCCCTCTCCTCTTCGTCAACAATCTCTGCTAGCCTGCCCTCTCCTCTTCGTCAACAATCTCTGCTAGCCTGCCCTCTCCTCTTCCTCAACAATCTCTGCTAGCCTGCCCTCTCCTCTTCGTCAACAATCTCTGCTAGTCTGCCCTCTCCTCTTCCTCAACAATCTCTGCTAGCCTGCCCCTCTCCTCTTCCTCAACAATCTCTGCTAGCCTGCCCTCCTCCTCTTCGTCAACAATCTCTGCTAGCCTGCCCTCTCCTCTTCCTCAACAATCTCTGCTAGCCTGCCCTCTCCTCTTCGTCAACAATCTCTGCTAGCCTGCCCTCTCCTCTTCCTCAACAATCTCTGCTAGCCTGCCCTCTCCCTCTTCCTCAACAATCTCTGCTAGCCTGCCCTCTCCCTCTTCCCTCAACACATCTCTGCTAGCCTGCCCTCTCCTCTTCCTCAACAATCTCTGCTAGCCTGCCCTCTCCCTCTTCCTCAACAATCTCTGCTAGCCTGCCCTCTCCCTCTTCCTCAACAATCTCTGCTAGCCTGCCCTCTCCTCTTCCTCAACAATCTCTACTAGCCTGCCCTCTCCTCTTCCTCAACAATCTCTGCTAGTCTGCCCTCTCCTCTTCGTCAACAATCTCTGCTAGCCTGCCCTCTCCTCTTCCTCAACAATCTCTGCTAGCCTGCCCTCTCCTCTTCCTCAACAATCTCTGCTAGCCTGCCCTCTCCTCTTCCTCAACAATCTCTGCTAGCCTGCCCCCTCCTCTTCCTCAACAATCTCTGCTAGCCTGCCCTCTCCTCTTCGTCAACAATCTCTGCTAGCCTGCCCTCTCCTCTTCCTCAACAATCTCTGCTAGCCTGCCCTCTCCTCTTCGTCAACAATCTCTGCTAGCCTGCCCTCTCCTCTTCGTCAACAATCTCTGCTAGCCTGCCCTCTCCTCTTCCTCAACAATCTCTGCTAGCCTGCCCTCTCCTCTTCGTCAACAATCTCTGCTAGTCTGCCCTCTCCTCTTCCTCAACAATCTCTGCTAGCCTGCCCTCTCCTCTTCCTCAACAATCTCTGCTAGCCTGCCCTCTCCTCTTCGTCAACAATCTCTGCTAGCCTGCCCTCTCCTCTTCCTCAACAATCTCTGCTAGCCTGCCCTCTCCTCTTCCTCAACAACCTCTGCTAGCCTGCCCTCTCCTCTTCCTCAACAATCTCTGCTAGCCTGCCCTCTCCTCTTCCTCAACAATCTCTGCTAGCCTGCCCTCTCCTCTTCCTCAACAATCTCTGCTAGCCTGCCCTCTCCTCTTCCTCAACAATCTCTGCTAGCCTGCCCTCTCCTCTTCCTCAACAATCTCTGCTAGCCTGCCCTCTCCTCTTCCTCAACAATCTCTGCTAGCCTGCCCTCTCCTCTTCCTCAACAATCTCTACTAGCCTGCCCTCTCCTCTTCCTCAACAATCTCTGCTAGTCTGCCCTCTCCTCTTCGTCAACAATCTCTGCTAGCCTGCCCTCTCCTCTTCCTCAACAATCTCTGCTAGCCTGCCCTCTCCTCTTCCTCAACAATCTCTGCTAGCCTGCCCTCTCCTCTTCCTCAACAATCTCTGCTAGCCTGCCCTCTCCTCTTCCTCAACAATCTCTGCTAGCCTGCCTTAGCCATCGGGAAGACGTGTCCGGTGAGTTTCTCGTAGAACTCGAGGCATTTGACGGCAAACTCGACGGCGTACTCTCCCTCCTTCGCATCCATCTTTTCCTTCCGAGCGTACACGGACACCTAATGGCGTTCCTTCGTAATAGCGGTGTCATTTGTACAGTACCGGAATGGTGTGACCGTCGTTGCGCTTGAATTGGCGGGTCGTCTTCTCGAAGTCGTGGATGACCAGGGCGAGCAGATAGGTCGACATTTTGGGCGTGTCGTCAAACTTGGTCATCTTCCATGCGGTGCGGTGAAATTGGATGTTCCTGAAAAAGGTAGGGTAATCAGTAAATTTTGTGCCATGTGCTAAATAGCATTGCGCGGGTGCTGCTTGCAAAAATTCCGGTACTTTACTGTTAGCGGAGGTGTGATTTTGCCGGGGGGAAACCAAATTTTTCACCGGTTTTTCGGACGGCCCCGTAGTTTTAGACGATTTCTATAGCATTTTACAATGTTTTTAAACACGATAACCTCATAAAAAAATTGGCAAAATCTTCGAAAATCTTAGTTTTTGGTCAAAAATGTAAGAAAAATTGTTAAAAAGCGCAAACTTTCGGAATTTCAAAATTTGTAACCAATTTTTAAAGTTTACTATCAATAAAAAAAGTGCTACTTATTCTAAATTATAAATTTTCAATAACTAACAGGTAGCCATCGCAAAATAATAAAAATAGACTATCGATTTCGGCGATTTTCCAATGATCACTGCCAGCTCAACAAAAAGTTCGTGCTCAAATAATCAGTGCTAGCCTGCCCCAATTTTTCGTGTTTTCACCTCGTTTTTGGTTGGGATAAAAAAAGAAAACTTTAGAAAATGTTCAATTGGTAAATATTAATTGTACTTTTTGCGCTTATCGATATTTTCGCGAAACATTTTTTCCCTAAAATAATTTTTCAAAGTTCAAAAAATAATGAAACTAACTCAGTTTTTCCAGGAGCATTGGATGTGGCATTGGTTCCGATGGGATGGAGTACGGTAAGTGTCCACGTCGCTTTATAGGCTGGCTCGTCGAAGCACGGCACCATCTTCCTCGCGTCCGTCGCCTCCATTTGAGTAGTGGCGATCGTGCTACAAATTACGGATTTGGAGCGGTAAAATTAATTTCTTCGGAATGTCTTTAAAAGTTCTAAAAACGCCTAATACGTTACAAAAAAATTTACTTTTGAAAAATGGTCTTTATTTGCCGGGAAATGTATGTTTCTTTTTCATAAAACCTTAATTTGCAATTTTGTTCGGTTAAAATCGTTCTATAAAATTCGATTAGTATTTTGAACTTGTTAATTGATTAATTGTGTAAACACATAATTTTGCATTTTGATTAGCGAGTTCCCTACGGCAAATAGCAAAAATTAAGAAACAGAATTTTTGCACCACTAAATTTATATGTTTCTTTGTGCAAGGAATAAAAGGGCTTGACGACACTATTAATGAGTCTGATTCCATCAAACAACACAACACCTATAAATCGTGATTTTAACAAAATTTAGCCAAATTTAAAAAAACTCGAAAGATCACTGGAAACTTTTTCCAATACGTTTCTAATTACGAAAAAATTACATGGATATATAAAGCATTTTAAAGATCGGAAAGCATATTCAAAACTTGTCTTTTTCGGCAGTTTGAAAGAAATTTGATTATTGTTGAATTCATTTAATCTCTTAAAATTTAATGAAGAAAAACGACTTCTAAAAGCGGAAAAGCTTTTCTAAAAAATTGCAAATTTCTCAGGTATCGACCGGTCCGGGCATAAACAAAATGTTTCGTATATTTTGTTATGGAATCCTGTCAATACAAAAACAATTTCGATTTAGTGCAAAAAGGTTAAAAAAGCGCCAATTTACCCATATTCAAATACCGTAAGACCCACATCTCCTTCCCCTCGGGTGACTTGTACTTGGACTTGTAGAGACCGGCCAGGCTTTCTTGCACCATTCCCGTGTAGAACAGCTGCAGCACGTAGCGGCCCCGGGTGATGTGCTTGCCGTCGGAGAAGCCGACCTTCTCCGCCTCGTTGCCCGAGCCGGTGGTGATCGTCAAGCGGCGCTGAACGGAAGTGATTAGTGAGGCCGAGATGGCAGCCGAAATTCCTTCACAATCGCTGCTAGCCTCCCCTCTCCTCTTCTTCAACAACTCTGCTAGCCTGCCTACCGACTGTTGCCCCGTCTGGAAGAGCGTGGCGTCGGTGATGTTGACCTCAGCCGCATTCAATTCGATGTATGTCACAGCGGCGTTTTTGACTTCCAGCTAAAAAATGCACTTTCCTCAAGAATCCCTGCTAGCCTGCCTCCGTACCGTAATATTGACGTGGGCGAGGATGAGGTATTCACGGGCCCCAGGGACTTTCGAGTAGTCGGTGCCAAATCCTGGCAGCATCACCGCCATCCAGGAGTCGTAGTGGATGGGGGAAATGCCGCTGGGAAGCCGTTCGCCTTCCAGGCTAAATTTTGGGTAGAGTGAAGCTTCAATGGGCCTTTAAATTTGGTTTCAAATGGTATTTCGTGAATTTTATGAATATTTCAAGTAGCAAAAAAAGGTAAACAAAAAATGGCCTTAAAACTCGTATCGGTACTTTTACATTATCGGGGGGGGGGCAAATAGCCGAAGTGCTGCTAAGCTGTTTTTTCTTGTTTATAAACGTAAAAACTTTACAAACTCTTATTTAAAAAGCTTAAAATATCGGTTTAGACCCAAATTTCGTCTTTTTGCATTTTTTGCTAATTTTTAGTTAGTTGTCCTAGTTTTACAAAAGTTATTTTGAATTCAAATCCTTTTTAACACCATTTGCAAAGCTTGTATTTATAAAAAGCACATAAAAACCGGTAAAATTTACGAAAATTGGTGATTTTTCGATCAGAAATTTTTCAAAACGCGTTTAGTATTATTAGCGTCCCGCTAGCTAAACCCCCCCCCACCGCTAAAGGTCCAGTACCCCAAAATCGCTAAAGCTCTCAAAATTGGCTAATTTTTTGATTTCAATAGCCCTTTAAAAGTAAGTAAATTCAAGAAATAATAAAAATGCTTTATTCCGATTCCTCCCGCGGGTACCACACGACAAACACGTGAAAAAGAGCTCACAATTAAATGGAACGCGATTCGGCAATTAATGCGTGGATTTAAGGTCAACAATTCGCTCAGGTAGTGTTTATCGTGGGCCCGCCAGGATTGGGACTCGTACTGAAACACGAACTGTCAAAAATCCGAAAAAATGTTTCGCCAATAATTAAAAATTCTTAAATATTTTTCGACAATAATACTCGTTGCATTTTCGTTTGCACTCGCAAGTCGAGAAATGCTTAATAATGCCATGGTAAATAGTGGTTTTAGTAAAATTTAACTATATTTAAGTGGAAAACAACCAAAAAAAGTTAATTTTTTTAATTTGCCAAGTGAACTTTGGCCGAAGATCGTTGATTTTGTATTTTTTAATAAAAATTTGGTAATTTTTGGCGCCTAGCAATAATGAAAAAAGTTTAGGAACGCTTCGGCTAATTATGTTAGAGAAAGTTGTCCCCCCCCGATATTGCAAAAGAATCGGGTTCTACAAAAATGCGGCTCGCGAAAATTACAAAAATGCGTTTCATCAATAATTGAAAGCAACATTTTTTTGACCTCCTGCTAAGCGCCTATTTCCAATTTTGTCCTTCACTTCCCGGCCCCTTTAAAAACCCCGATAAATACCGACATATGGGATGGATGGGGTTTGCCGTCATCGTAGCCGAGTTCCACCCCCTCCGGAACTTGATACTGCTCGGCGCGCGTCTTCTCACGGTCACGGTAGCTCACCCTCAAATTATGATTCTACAACTAGCACTTCACCAAGTCGTTTCAGAAGTTTTATTTTTCCAAAGTTTTTGAAACATAACTTTTTATCCAACTCAATATAAGACTCCAGCCGACACCCCTACCGTATCTCGGCTACCTGCTTGTTTACAGGTGTGTAAAGTATACCAAAATGCTCGCAGGAGCAACGCGAACATTTTGGTACACATTACGTGCATGTGGACCAACAGGGAGCCGAGTTACAAACGTTGGGGGCCGGCTCGGGGATCTGCAGGCTTACCCAGCTATGAATTAACGGAAAACGATTTAGCTTGGATCTTGAAACTTTTCGAAACCTTTTTTCAAGAACCGGTGCTTCAAGAAAACCTACTTCTCCTCGTGCGAGTCCCTGACGACGAACCAGTAGAGGGCGGCCACGATGATCACTGGAATTTAATAAATGGCATAAACGATTGAAGAATTCCCCAAGAATCCCTGATAGCCCGCCACACTCACCGACAACAAGGAGGGCACAGAGGACGATGCCGATGTACGTGACGAGGTTCTGCTCGCCGGCCGTCTTGTCCTTCTCCTGAAATATTGGGGTGGAGATAAAGAGAGAGCGAGAACGAGACTGAGAGAGAGAGAGACAGCGTTACACACCGCTTGCTTTCCGGCCCTCTCGGCTTCAATCGGCACCTTGGTCTCCTTCGGCTTCTTCTTCTTCTTTTTCGCCTCCTCCTTCACGGATTTCACGGACTTTGACGATTTCTCCGATTTCTCCGACTTTTGCGATTTTTGCGACTTCACCGAGCCTTCAGAGTCATCGGCCCGCTTCGCGCCGCCGCGCTGCTTCGTCTCGCTGCGGTCCGTCTTCTGAAAAATCGGCTTCAGTATTGTGCCTGGATTCCATCATACCTCCGAGTGGAACTCGATGGTGGTGTCACGGTGCGACTCGCTGAAACTTGAAAAATCTGCACGTTACTGGACTCTTAGCGGGGGAAGGTTTCAAGGCTTCGACAAGAACTTCTCATTCCTCAACAATCTCTGCTGGCCTGCCCTCTCCTCTTCCTCAACAATCTCTGCTAGCCTGCCCTCTCCTCTTCCTCAACAATCTCTGCTAGCCTGCCCTCTCCTCTTCCTCAACAATCTCTGCTAGCCTGCCCTCTCCTCTTCCTCAACAATCTCTGCTAGCCTGCCCCTCTCCTCTTCCTCAACAATCTCTGCTAGCCTGCCCTCTCCTCTTCCTCAACAATCTCTGCTAGCCTGCCCTCTCCTCTTCCTCAACAATCTCTGCTAGCCTGGCCTCTCCTCTTCCTCAACAATCTCTGCTGGCCTGCCCTCTCCTCTTCCTCAACAATCTCTGCTAGCCTGCCCTCTCCTCTTCCTCAACAATCTCTGCTAGCCTGCCCTCTCCTCTTCCTCAACAATCTCTGCTAGCCTGCCCTCTCCCTCTTCCTCAACAATCTCTGCTCGCCTGCCCTCTCCTCTTCCCTCAACAATCTCTGCTAGCCTGCCCTCTCCTCTTCCTCAACAATCTCTGCTAGCCTGCCCTCTCCTCTTCCTCAACAATCTCTGCTAGCCTGCCCTCTCCTCTTCCTCAACAATCTCTGCTAGCCTGGCCTCTCCTCTTCCTCAACAATCTCTGCTAGCCTGCCCCCTCCTCTTCCTCAACAATCTCTGCTAGCCTGCCCTCTCCTCTTCCTCAACAATCTCTGCTAGCCTGCCCTCCTCCTCTTCCTCAACAATCTCTGCTAGCCTGCCCTCTCCTCTTCCTCAACAATCTCTGCTAGCCTGCCCTCTCCTCTTCCTCAACAATCTCTGCTAGCCTGCCCTCTCCCTCTTCCTCAACAATCTCTGCTAGCCTGCCCTCTCCTCTTCCTCAACAATCTCTGCTAGCCTGCCCTCTCCTCTTCCTCAACAATCTCTGCTAGCCTGCCCTCTCCTCTTCCTCAACAATCTCTGCTAGCCTGGCCTCTCCTCTTCCTCAACAATCTCTGCTGGCCTGCCCTCTCCTCTTCCTCAACAATCTCTGCTAGCCTGCCCTCTCCTCGTCCTCAACAATCTCTGCTAGCCTGCCCTCTCCTCTTCCTCAACAATCTCTGCTAGCCTACCCTCTCCTCTTCCTCAACAATCTCTGCTAGCCTGCCCTCTCCTCTTCCTCAACAATCTCTGCTAGCCCGCTGCCTAAAATCCTAATCCAAAAATCAGCATTTCCGCTTGAAAAGAAAAGCCAATCTCGTACCCATCCTTCTGCGAACCGTCCTTGTCGTCCGGCATGGCGTAGCGTAGCGAACAAGATGATTTTTGGAGAGGAATAAACAGCACTTCTACTCACAAATTCATGGAAATTTTGGCAGGCTGATTCAAATTTCCGTAACCAATTACGACATGAAAATGTGGTTTTTCTCATTTTTGGCATGGGGATGGTGATAGCCGGTTTTGCATATCATTTGCAATGAACCAACTCACGAGAAAGAGAGAGAGAGAGAGAGAGAGAGAGAGAGAGAGAGAAATCACGACGTTTTTTTACGTTTAGGGTTAGTTTTAAAATGGCAAGCTAGCAGAAGGTATTTCGGGATCCGATGGCAGCAAGCCAGCAGAGGTGATTTTGGAGGTTGAGTGATCGTTAAACTGAAACCGTTTTGGTCAATAGCGCTTTCCATTCATCGACAACTTTTCCTGTGATTCAGATATTTCAGCGAAGCAGTGTTTCAAGATTGAATGAAAGGGCAGTTCCCTCACTCGTGTTTCCCTATGAAACATTTCAGCTCACTTTACTAGTCCGGGGTCAAGTTACCCAGGGCGTTTAAAAAATGGTGTTTTAAGCAATGGTTTTAACCATTAGATTTCGTGCATAGCCCAATACGATAAGCCTTCTGGCAAAAAGAATAATGTTTCGCCCAGGTTTGGTAGACAGAATTCGGGCGCCAGTGTATTTTACGTATATTACATGCACAAACCGTCGCATTATCGTTATAGAGTATTTGCGAAACATTTTAAATTTAAATTTAATTATTTATAGCACCAGGCTGTCCTTCTTTTTCTCGCTCACACTCTCTCTCTCTCTCTCTGTCTATCGGTGTCCAGGTCCCTTTAAAGCTCCGTCATGCCCCTGCCCTTTCAATTTATTTTTAGCTCCTTCTGCCCGTGGACGTTTGAAGATATTTTCAGAAGCACTGGCATGAAGCATTACTCTTTCGCTCGCTCCTTTCATGACTAATTTTCATGAAACACATCAATGTCGGCCAGCCTCATTTTTCAAAAATTCGCCGCATAAATTCTCGAGTGTAGCAGAATTTTTGTGCGAAAAATGTTTCGTCAAGCTGTTTATATAGATTTTAATATTTTGATAGAATGGGAATCAAATCGTTCGTCTTTATCAGATACAAAAAAATGAGCGTTATGTGATGAAAGCAAGCATAATATTGTAGCGTTACCAAGAATATATAAAATAACCCTAGCCGTTTCGTTAGCTGATGGGCGTCGGGCACTTTTGGGATTTTTGCTGGCTTAACCTGAAATTATGCCTTGGTAAAAGATGGAGGGTAACAAAAAGAGAAAAACAACAATACAATACTATACACATAAAATCACAAACACCCATATGCAAATTTGGCCTTAAATGGGTGGGAAACCTGGATTTTGAAAAAATAATAAAAAAAAAACAATTTTCGGGAAGTTTAAAAAGCTTGTTTCATAAATACAATGATTAAGCCTTGGCCTTTTCATGTTATTATCTGATCCAAGATTTCTTTAGCGATGAAAAATGGAGGCCTACTATTTAAAAGTGGCTAGTTTGAAAAACTTAAATATTTGTTTTTCATAGTAATTTTTGTAATATTTTAATCAAATTCACTCATTAACAAAGGTTCTTTTCAAATCAGAATTTTCTGACGGTAGCTTCCGTACAATCAGGAAAAAATATGATTCGGGCAAATTCCATTCCACAAACACCCCAAATAAATTAATTTACGCAAAATTGCCCCTTCCCTTCATTTTATTAATTATTCAGCCTGTTTGCCTTATTTAAAATGTGCTTTAATTTAAATATTGATTTCTTTTTTGCAATGTGCTTTTCTATTCGGCTTTTTTCTAAAATTAATTCCCGAGGGAATAACTTGCAAATTTGCTCCTAATTTGCTAAAAACTTTTACATCTTAAAAAAATGTGTTTCATAAAAATCACAGCCAGCGCCAAATTTCGATCATCTCAATGACGCAGTAAGCCAATCCCTTGGCCTTCCTTTGAATTTTTTCAGTTTTTCATTCATTTCACAAAAAATGTATCATAAAAGCCTGCTATTCGGGCTGCCTGATTAAATCTTCTTGGGTGGCAAATTCCGAGTTTACATGGTTATTGGCACTTTTTAGGCGGTTGGGAATGGGGACCCACCGGAGGACGGCGATACGGTAGTCGCGGATAAAATATATCATTACTAGCGGCTCCAGGGTACAGTACACTCCAAATGACACCGTGACAAAGGTTGTATCGACTGATAGGTGGAAAATTGGGCAGATGAGGACGATACCGCTTGGGATGTAGAGGCAGAAGACAGGGATTACCGTCTGAAAACGTCAGAAAAATATTTGAAGAAGCTAGCCTGCCCTCTCCTCTTCCTCAACAATCTCTGCTAGCCTGCCCTCTCCTCTTCCTCAACAATCTCTGCTAGCCTGCCCTCTCCTCTTCCTCAACAATCTCCGCTAGCCTGTCCTAAAGTTTACCCACCTGAACTACGAGCGCCCTAAATATTCCCATCTGACGTTGACGAATTCGCGTGCTCATCGTGGCTTCCTAGAAAATCCAAATTTTAGGCTTTTGTTGAATTTTTGTATTGCTGGTGCTGTATTATAAAACAACAACCGGCATGAAAATTCAGAACGAAATGTTGCTTTAGAAAGGACCGACGAAGGCGCAAATTAAGGCTAATCATATTTCCGAAAAGTGGCAAAAATTTGAAACATTGGAATATTTTTAAGCTTCTAATTTTTACAGTTTCAAAGTAATTTCATTGAGTTCAATTAAATGTTAGTTGGATTTATCTTAATTAATTTTAGCTAAAACAGAGATTGCTACTTTAGCTTTGGTTAAATTGAATTCTTACGCCAGCATCGCCTACCCTTAAAGTGCGCAGAATGGCGCGGCCGCAGAGCAAAATCACGATAAATGAGGAGACGATGAAGAACATGCAGATTGAAAGGCCGCACCAGGACTTCCAATTCGCGATGCCGTCAATCTGGAAAAAGGGTAAATATTTTTTTGAAAAGTCCATTGTAAGACGGAATTTGCTGTTTGTCCACAGCGTTCTGTTTTCAAACACGTTTTTCGTTTAAACATTTTGAAATTTAGCGTGCAACAAAAATATATTCGTACCGCATTGAGGCGCCGGTTATCACGCATCCAACTCGACTTTTTTGAAACATTTGAAAAATCAAAAGTAAATCCCAACAAATCGGAGCGGCATAAAATGATTTTGAAGGACCTACAAAATAAACGCCCCCGAGGGAGACGATCTCGTCGATGCTGTGCTGGAAGGTGCGCGAAAACGGGTGCCGGAACGCGTCTTTTACCTAAAATCAAGTGAATTATTATGCTCAATTTTGCTTTCCTCGAAAAAAGTTGTTTCGCTTTTAATTGGGAGTGAAGAGAAGCGAATTCATTGTATTGCTATGCTTTTTTGCTTGGATAAAAGAATGAATCGAAAGTGCGTTCTTTGGTGTTATCGGGGGGGAGCGAAATTTTTTTGTAAGGGTCAAGAAATGCCTATTAACTTAGTAGGGAAATATTTTAATATCGGTTTTAGTCAAATAAAACTATTTTGACTAAAAAACTAACTAAAAACTTACAAACAAATTCAAAAACAAATCGAAATTTTGTCAAAACGGCCTAGTTGGCCGAAAAATCGTTTTTTGGTTTGTTTTTGGTTTATTGAATGTTGCGATAAAAATTTGTACCGTTTTTATCTTCAGGAAGACAAACACATTTCCAAAAACCTGCAAACTCCTCCCGATAAAGCGAAAGAACCGAAATCGGCTAATAGTGACGAAATCAAATTTTCTTTGTTTCAGTTATTTTTAGAATGAAAACAATGGTCGGGTTTAATATTTGAGCAGAAAAGGGCTGGATAGCAATTTAGAAGGCAAAAAGCCGTTTAAAAATGTAAAAAAACCGACCCTCGCGTCTTCAAACAGGAAAACGACGACATTCGCTCCATATCCGCCTCCAAAAAGTAGATACAGTACCACCATCCCGGCGATAACTTGCGACCTTGTCAGCGCGTTCAGCCATTCTATCCTGAAAAAACTTGTGTTTCGTTGGTAACTAATAATTTAGATGAGAAATGCCAATTAATTGCAAATACGCAGCTGTCTCAGTTAAAACAAATATAGATTAAGTCAGAATCAGTCAAAGTCAGTCAAAGTCAGTCGCCGAATGCTTTTTCCGAGGATTCGGAAAATAACAAAACAAAATGAGTTTTTTTACAAAAATGCGTTTCACCGAATTCAGTGTACAAAAAATGGTGGTAACTCTTAATGAACGTAAAATGGTCGTACTCTTGTTTCTGCCTATACTGGGGATAACTACAGTATCTTGGTAAAATTAATCTCGTCAAAACTCTCTAAAAATTTACAGAATTTTAAAAATGCGGAAAACAGTCGAAAATTTGTTTTTGGAGTCGGAAAATCAATTTTTTTTCCGCTTTTTTTTACGGGAAGGTGATACATTTTGTACGCTTTCGAAAGGCAAAAACTGTTTATAAACAATTGCTCTATTTATATTAAAACATTTGATATCAAGGAGAAAGACCCGTTTGTAAATTCAAAAAATCTTGCTTTGAAAAATAAGTTTCAGAAAATTTTAGGCTTCAAGAATGGGCGGGGCACCTTATTTTCTACTTGGAAACTGCTTCCGCCTTAAAGCTATGTTCAACTCACTGGCAAATCAGTGCATAACGGTATATGAAGTGAAAGCAGAGCAGCACCAGCGACTGCGCGTACGCCGAGGCGTACACGAACAACCCGAGGGCTGAAAGCTCTTTCGAGTCGGACACGGGGCCGGTGGTGAACATAACGAAACCGTAGCCGTCGCAGAAGATTATCTACAAAAAATAAGACTAAAACAATTTTTTCAAAATTTTTGCGTGTACTAAATTTTAGCTTTCGAGCTCCCCAAAAACTCCAAAATCGTTTCTGCTAGCTAGCCGGGGCGCCAACGTTCCTCTTTCCTCTCTGCTAGCCTGCCCTCTCCTCTTCCTCAACAATCTCTGCTAGCCTACCCTC